TGAGGGGTGGCGTGGGCCCCGGCGCTTGTGAGGAGGCCGGCGATCACCAGCAGCCCTGCCCCGAGGGGAGCGGGGTCCCGGGCCGCGCGGGGAGCACCTGGGCTGAGGTGGTGGTAGGTGCTGTTGTAGTCCCTGGAAACCGCCGTCACTGCAGCCCGCTGCCAGCTCCTAGATCTCCCTACCGAGACGGCACATGTAAACGCTGATCTCTCGCTGCATGCCAGTCCTCCTCTTCAACAGGGTGCTAATAAACCTTTCTCCCACTCCTGTGAAGCAGTAGCCTGTCTGTCTTCTGGTCTCTCTAAGTACTTTCTCAGAAGTTGCTAAGTTTTCTCATTCTTCGTTCTGCGAGCCTTTCCTTCCATTACTTAGTATCCTTCTTCAAATCATCCCATGTCACATCCTGCACATTTGGCATGTTTCTGAATGCAATAATTATGTGCCATGGCCTTGTGACTGTGGCTGAAGCTGAACTTCTCGTTGCTTTTTAATTTTTTTTTTGTTATTTCTCTCTTTGCACATGGATCAATGTCATATTTAAATGTCATGGCTTTTTCTTCCTGAGCATCTTAGCATCTTTGCGACACACTATCTGCTTTAGGTTTTTATAATATCCTGTTTTGACTATTGTAGTGCTATTGTTTTCTGTCATTTTGTGTTGGATTCTTTCATTCCAAATGATGATTGATTTTCTGTGCTCTCTAGTTACAGTAATACAAGTGTAGTCTTTGAATTCCATCACTTGCCCATAACATCAGTTTACATTGTTCTTAATTTCCTGGCCTCTGTAGTCTCTTGCACATTAAACTGTCCTTCTGTTGACCGATTACCTCTCTGCTATTTTCATGGCCACTTTTTTGGTGTTAGACTAGTTCAGATTGCTACAACTTACTCTTCCTAACCTTTATCTGCCTTTCCACTAACCATTCCCAGGCTGAACATCTGTGTGTGCTGAAACAAAGCAGAGGGAAGGAAGAGGTTAGGTAATACCTAGCTTGTTATAGATGCCATGAAAGAATTGCTAACTGGTGATTAGGTCTTCTTTATTCTTTAGTATTTTATGCAAGTGTAATTAAAACACTGTTTATTTAATTTAATCCTCAAAGCTTTCAGTCTTAAAATGCTGGTAAAATTTTTAACATTTCTGTCATTATCCAAATTTGTGGTACTCAAAGATGAAGAAACTAACTGGTAGGTAGTTTTGTTTTGTAGCTGTAGTAAGTTTCATAGCTTAAAATTGACACACTTTGACCTGACTGTTCTCTTTCAGTGTGTGTTTGAAGTCTGTTGGGTTTGTGGGGTTTTTTTGCCACCTGGTCACTTTCAAAGGATCAGTTACGTGGTGCTGAAGTGGATTTTTAAGAATCTCCAGAAATCTTGGCTTGAGAGCACAAATTCAAAATTTGTATTAAATTGTTGCTACATTTTAAGTCTAAATTTTATTTCTTCTTATTCTATATAAACTTTTATGTTGTTATTCTTATATCTGAGTTCCTTTCAGCTTCTCATTAAATGATAACTAACTTGTCACATGATCATTCTTATTTTCTCCCTAGGAGAAAAGCATTCTCATCTTCAGAGACCTGGTTTGTTGAGAGTTTACACGTTGATTTTATGCATCAAAGAGTCATTTCAAATATTGCAATTTTAATTCCTGATTCTGTACTTTATTCGATCAACTTAAATTATTCAGGTCTTTACTGTCATTCTTTTCACTGGATGACTCTCTCAAGTGCCAGGTTAAAGCCTCAGTTGTTTGTTATATGTGGGGGTTTTGTTTTGTATATATAGCACTCTAGTGTAAAAAATTAAAATAACAAACCTTACACGCTTACATGAAAAAAACTTTAGAGCTGTAAGAATGTTTTAAAGTGTGTAAAGAATCAACTCCTATTATGTTATTAGAACTCTTCAGTTTAAAATTCTTTTAAAAATCAAATTATTTTGAGCCCTCCACTGTCATCTGGACTTCTCTTGTAGGAGCAAAATACATGTCTAGAAGAAAATATAAACAGAAGCAAATTATATAAACATGCAGTATCAGACTTCTTCATATATCTAAAATATTTTCAATAAATTTGTACAGTAATGCTTTCCTTGTGTTTCTCTGCCTTAGTACTTTGGTTCTTTAACACCTATGGCTGATATATCATAGATATTAAGATCTTATTTTCAGATCATATGATTTGATTTTTTTTTTTAATGCCAGAAAATCAATTACTTGCATTTAAGAAAAGAAAAATAGGGGATTGCCATTTATTACAGTCAAAGAGTAGGTCAACAAATAGCTAACCTTTTTTTGTATCTATCTGCCTTGTGTATTTTTTGCCACAGGGACTGGCTCTGACATTATGTGAACATACGATGTAGCCAGTGTGCATCTGACTGGAGAGTATCAGTTGCTACCAGAAAAATACATTGATGTGTATTTTTTATTTCTGTAAGAGTGGGATTTAAGTATTCTGAATTTATGATCTCCATCTTATATTTAGCTATTTAGACAGGAAATTAAAACTTAAGGTGGGGATAGGGAGCACTGTGCAAAGTGTGATTTCTGTTGACAAAGCATGTTACTGGTCAGTTTTGTTGCTTAGTGAATGCTGAAGGCTGGGGATCACCTTGCTGAAAGCGCTACTTGACCAGTTGTCACATAACAGCCACATGAATTAACAGTCTCATGGTCTCTTCCCTATTTTGGAGTCTCTGTTAGAGATTGCTTCCTCTACCCATAATGATTTTCAAATTCTGTTTCTGCTTTTAAAATAGTTCTGTATGTAAATTGTCTGCATAGAGTGTATTAGATGATGCCATCGATTTCAAATTACTCTGCTTTTTCCTATTTTTCAAATTTAGATGGTCTAATTAGCTTATGATCTAGTATGATGGATAATGATCAGAAAACTTAAGGAGCAGGTGATAAAAATGAGAAGAGCAACTGACAATTCTTACAGAAGTGCTGCTACTGTATTGGAGAAAGAGGGATTTGCAAGGGGAAGGTTCTTACTAATTAAAGCATTTGTATCACAAGGAACGGAAAGGCTTTTTTTTTAACAGGAGTAAATGTGAAAGTCAGGGAGCAGAAGAGAGATAAAGACAACACAAATTGATTTGCTAGTTGGAAGACAGCCTTAGAATGTCCCTGCCTAAGTAACTACCCTCCACAAAATTTCTTGGCAGGTTTTCTCTGCTACGAGGCTGTACTTACACTTGTAAATTAAACATATCTGGAAATCTTCTTGGACACAAAGAGCAACTGGCATGAAATGGCCCACATCTATGCTAGTAAATTCTCTTATCTTCCAAAACAAGGCAGTAGGACAGAAACTGCTTGAGAAATTACCTTAGAAGGAGTCCTCACATCAGGCTGGGAAGGTGCCTAGGAGAGTGGTGGTTGTCACAGGGCAAATCCATGCCAGGGACTGTTGTCACAGTAACTAATACAGACAATCACACTTTATTGAATTCACTGTTATTGACATAGCTTAACACTCCTACAGTTATTCTGACTCCCATAAAGGGTTGAATATGATAAAAGACTTTTCCTGCTCTGCCTCCCGCAAAATGACTGGGTTTGGATCTTTCTTAAATAATAAGACTGTGTCAAAAGCAACAGCAGCATAAAGCTAACCAGAATTGGGTTTTGCTCAGATGAAATTACTGGAAGAATTATAAAGGATAGAATCTGTAGATGCTAAAAATAAAGGGAAACAGGAGGACAAAGTGGGTGAAAAGAACCAGGCACTGGGATTGGTAAGGAGCAGTTAATCACAAAGCTGGAGCAGAATAAAGGAGGAAAGAAAAGAAATGTCAATTCTGAAGGAAATTAGAAGACTCAGAAATTAATATAAACAAAGCTTTCTTCATAACCATTATGTTATCTGCTTCATCTCTTAAAGTTCTGCAGAACTGGAATTGGCTGATTTTTCACATCCTTGTGTTTGGTGCACTTCATTATCAAAGCCGAGCATTATTTTTGGCCTAGTGCAGAACTCATGTCTGAATTTAATATGGGACTAAAGCTTTAAAATCAGCAACTGCTTTGCTTAAGAAGAAAAAAAAAAAAGGCAATACCAAAAGCAAACAAAACCCACCCAACCCGGAACAAAAAAAACCCAACCACCAAAACAACAAAAAACCCCATGTTGGAACAATGACAAGATATACTTGCTTTTCAAGATAATTTTATGTTTTCAGTACAATGTAAATAAAAGTTGGAGTTTTTTTTGGTGAAAGAAGCAAAGAATAAGTTCAGGTATGAGTTACTAATGTGCTGCAGCAGAGAAAAAGATACAAAGTGCTGTTTGCAGAGGCATCGTGTCTCTGAGCAAGTAGGTGGTAGTTTATTGTCTAAGATCAAATTACTGTATTTTAGTTTCAGGAATATAGATTTCTGTAATACGGGCAGCAAAACTTAATTTACTGTTATTCTTTGTATTTTCTCTCAAATAACTTGTGTGTTAACAAAAACCACTTTTATTTAAAAGTTTTCCATTAGAATTTAACAAATCAAGTATGAATTGATATGCAGTCTTCATAACAACTTCTATTTTAAACATACTGAAACAGTATATTTTTGGTTTCAGGATATAAACCAGTTGGTAAGATAGGAGAGGGAACATTTTCTGATATTCTGAAGACACCAAGTCTTAGGGATGGAAAGTACAATGCATGTAAACATGTGAAGCAACATTTTGAAAGGTATGCATAATTAATCATAGTACTACAGAAAAGCGTATTTAAATTTCATAGAATCATTATGGTTGGAAGAGACCTCAAAGATCATCAAGTCCAACCGTATACCTGATGCCACCATGTCTACTAAGCCATGTCTTGAATTTGGTGGGGAAATGTGAAATTAAGACTAAGTGAAGTTTTTTTAATACATATGTATTAAAAAGGTTTGCATGTAGTACAGAAAGGCAACTCTGCTGCTGGTTATGCAGGGCCTTCCCATTTGGCACTGGGGTTATTTCCTTGAGTACTCTGATTGATGTCATCCACTGTACTAAATCCTGCCTGGCCACTGGGTCGAGGGTGAAACAAGAAGAATGAGGACTAAACAGTTGATTTCTGCCTTTCCAAATGCACTGAATATACTTGTGTTGTTTTTCTTTTTGTTGTAAATAATAATGGGAGGATGAAATGTCCTCCCCCTAGGACAATACTTTTTTCAGTCTTGCTTTAAATACTGTTTTAATGCATATTAAAAACACTGTATTTATCCTTAGTCCATCTATAGCATTAGTTCAACTTCATATTTGCATTTATATTTCATTATATCCATCAGCAAGACATTATATGGTCACAAAATAGGTGGTTTTCATCAGTTAGGAAAATAGTGGAGAGGGCTATGTGGAAGTAGACGTAGACTTAACATTCTCCTCCAAATATATAAGTGCCAAACAATGCCTTTTGGGTCACTGACTTTGTATTCTCAGTTAAATATATTAAGTTCCTAGTGAAATCAGTGGGAATGACACATTTGTACATACAAAGTAAAATGGAACATTTTGCTCTTAGGGGAGATTTCACAGTGTAACTCAGAACTTCAAAGACTGTAAGTTAAAAAAAAAAAAAGAGAATTCTAATATCTTCAAGTAATGTGGCTTCTGATTCTCTGTTGTGTTGTTAGAAAACTGTTGGTCCATTTATATGTTACCTACAACTGACAAAATTGTCCAATTTATGATCAAAAGAGTATTTAAACTAACTGCTTAACTATATCAAGGGCGGATGGTGTACAATTCAGTGGTAGGGTATAACAATAGGGCATAACAAGCAGACCATTTTTTTCACATAGTGTGTTTAAAACATCTTTTAGGCCTTTAACCCTTTGATAAATGGAGTGCCAAAGTTTTTTATGAAATGAACTCTTTTAGCAACAGATAACAGTGTTTTAAACAGAACCTGCCCATACAAGGTGTTTCTCCTAGTTTCAAATTGGAAAATGTTGTTTTGGTGTTTAGCTTTAAGTCTGACTGTGAAAATGTGTATGCGTCCTGTTCTGACCCATTAAATAGTGTGCAAAGCTCTTTGTTTCCTGCTTCCTCCTCACAGTTTCTGTAGCATGTAGTTTTGTTGTTTATTAAAGTCTAGGAGGGCAAGATAATAATTAAACAATAGCTGAATAGTGTCTATTTTTCATGTAAGAGGTTACTATCAAAACTTAATTTTAAATGCGAAATTTGGCAAGGCTAGATTGTCACTTTCAGTATCATGCTGAGCAATAGTTGGAATATATGCTACACCAGCACAGAAGAAACAGTATTATACCTACTATCATGCAACACAAAATTCCTCCCAGATAGCTCCTTGGCATGGTAACTGACGTCTGGAGCACAATACATTACTGCTTACCTTGGTTGAGGAAGTCCAGCTACTCCAGGCTGCAAGAAGGAATAAAGCCATTTACTGATTAGTGGTTTGCTCTATAAAGAAACAAAGCAGGCAAACAATTTATCAGGTCCTGCATTTGAAAGTTCGGTTACAGACGGAAGCAGAGTAGGTTCTGACAGTCTCATGGCAGGGAGGAAAGACAATTATAATCCAGTCCCTGATTGCAAGTCAGTCTTCCACTTTTCTTTTTAATTCAACTTTAGTATGGAACAAGTGACTAATCTGAGAGAAACAGAAGCGCTAAGGAGGCTGAGTCTGCATCCTAATATCCTTATGTTACATTAAACTGTTTTGTAATTATAGTGCATTAATTTCTTTCTTCCTTATTCCTTTATTTGAATGATATCCAGTAACTTTTGGGTCTAGAGGCAACCTGTAGGCACTTAACCAGCTTTTTATTCTAACAGAAAGAAAAAACAAACAAATCTGTCAAATTCTGACGACTTCATGCCTTTTTTGTTAAGAAAATCTGATGTATTGCTCACTTTCTCTGGCTCTTTTGCAGCAGACCAAAAAATATTTCAACATGAGTATTAAAATTGCAGACTAGATATATTTTAAGCATAGCTAAACTTCATATCATAATATGTAATACTTGCTGGTGATGTCAGCCCATGGCCCGTATCCAATGCGTGCTATAACTGCACAACATGATGTCTGCTGGAGACAGTATTTTGGTTAGGCACACTCAGAGCTTATCTGCTGGAGTAGGCTCTGGTACTTCAAGGATCTTGGTCTGACTTGTCGGTTTGAACAAGGGATCGAGGCAAACTATTTGGCAGTATCATTTCGTAAGCAACTTTACAGATACTCCTTTAAAAATAATAGAAGTTTAGATCTCTGAATTAGGCAGCAGCTGAGCTATGAATTTGGAAAGAGATCAGTCAGTGATGAAGTTGAGTTCCTTAGCCTCGTTAGGCACTTAAGTGTCTTCTGGGGACATGTTCTGTCTCACAAAGAGATCAGGTTTTATGACAGCATTTACTCCATTGCTGTGCACTACACTTTGTCACTATGCAACAGCAGACATATACTTCATTATTCAAATACTTGACACAAACTTGTTAACTGCTCTAAAATATTTTTTTTCTTGCTCTTCAGACTGTCTTATTCCTCTGCTCAAGGCTCTGGTACTATACTGTTATTGACAGGCCCATTTTGTACAAATATATGGAAAGCCGGTAATCGTGTCAGCAGCTTAGCTTTCTGGAGTTCGCAGCTTCAGCTGCCGTGTTGTTAACGAAGTGTAATCCAGATGGCCAGCCAGCTCGCCTCGCTCTTTCATAGTCTGCCTGCAAACTGAATTGCATATTGTACCCTCAACCTCTTGCTGTCTGGGTTAACGGAACATTGCAAAGGGATGTACTTTAATGCAATTATGTTATAAGAAAAACTGAAGACCTAAAGACATCTGCCTCTGCAGGGCAGTGAAATGGAAAATAAAATGTCAGATGTATTATCATACTGTGATAATACTTAAAATTGCTGTTGTCAGCAAAACACAGATTCCCGTCAGATACTAGTTTCCATGCAATAGAACCCTACTGGTGACCTAACTAGAAAGCATTTTCATATATGGCATAATGGCTTTCCAATCTTTTATTGTAAGACTGTATCAGTTAATTTACTGGAAATTTCCTGATACTGAACAGTGTGATATGCCCAGAAAATACGTGTTCAAATAACTTCATGGAGTAAATCAGTTAACTTTTGCAAGGGACATTTTGGATAGTATAAACTAAAATGATGATACCTCAGACCCTAAGTTGAAAACTTCTATGAGAAAATATCAATTAAAAATTAAAATGTCCATTTTAATACTGGCTAAACTGAGTACTTTTTTCTATGCTGTGTACAAATCAACACGTAAATTTTAGTTCTAGCTTAAAGTCTCCTTATTTGTTTCTTCAGTGATTAAAAAAAAGCTGGCTCCCTTGCACTGATATGTGAACTTATGGACATGAATATTTATAAGCTGATAAAAGGTATGTAGCATATGCTCAAGAAACACACAAACCCTCCTTGTGTAGATCACAAAGTGGAATTAATTATTTTTCACTTGGCTGTTCACAGTTACATATTATAAAACTCATTGGGAAATTTTGTACTGTACTGCTTTACTCTCTTTCCAGTGCGATACACCCACTTATTTAAGGCATAGATACATGCAGAAGGTTTCTAACGAGTCACGTCCATGGCCATCTATTTCTACAGTCAAACTTTACATGAAAACAGGGAAACAACCTTGACTGCAAAACACAAAATAATTGCTTTATATAACAAAAAATACAACTTAAACAGGTTCTTTGTTAGGTTAGGGCTGTAGTGATAGAACAAGAAAATTATTCCCATTTGTTTCAAAAACTACTGAATCAATGAATAATGATTTGCAGTTTTTATATCTTGTAAAAATGCCTTTTACAAAGTTTTCTCTATAAAATAACATTGTTCCCTGAAACCTCCTATATTTAAAAATTCTGGAGCTATTTGTCGAAGCAGGTTGGAGACCATAAAGCTTAAGGAAGAATTCCCACAAAAAAGTTTAGAACAAAAGCTGATTTAAAACCAGATCTCATATAGACACCAAAGGAGTTGGATACAGCAAATGAAGGGGCTTTTACTTACAATTCAATGTTAAAAGAGGATTTTTTCCTGAATAATTAAAAATTTGTAATGTCTTAACAGTTGGGAGGTTCATTTAAATAACTGAGCATGCAACTGTCATTCAGTGTAATAGAACAGACGAAAGACTTGCTCCCAAACATTACATTAGTGACACTGAGTATTCAGATCTCTAACAAAAGAGTAAGCCTGTTCCTGACCTAGATAAAAATTTGCAATTAAAATACAGTTGTTTGCTGATCACTGAAGCAGACATTAGTATTCACTAGTTTGAATAAGACATTTTATTTTTCCAGGATAAATTTGTTAAGTTGTAAAGTCAGAATAATAGCATATGGGAAGGAGTCCTCATTGATAGTAAGTTAGGCCAGTGCATTAAAAACAATCCTGCATCTTCTCCTTCCGGGAAAGATCCTGTACTTCAGTTATGAAAAATCAGAATATTTAGGTTTGTTCTTTAGCTGCCTTTTTTTTTTTACCACAGGGTATTTGCTTTCATTTGGTTACATTTCTCAGTGTTTCTCTCATTCTTTTCATGTGAAAAAGCATGCTATATTAAGCATTGTATATAGATGGAAATTAATCTAATAGTTTCAGTATGTTCTGCTATTTTTTTTATTTTAAAATACATTTTTTATCAAATTCAAGTTTTCCATAAGAAGATTGTTTTCCTACTACTTAGTGTTAAAAGCCTTTTTATGGCATGGTGAATCAGTTCAAAATGAAATCTGTTTTCAATTGTAATCTGAAATGCTGCAGTTAGGGGTTATCTGAACATTAATCTGGGTCTACCTGAACTTCTATAATTTTCTGGTTCTTCTTTATGGTCTGGATTTTATGTCTGGATTGTGTTTCTCATGATACAATGTCTTTTTTTTCACCTTGTATAAAGTGGTGGCACATGAGGTGGAGCTTGTCAAATCATAGAATAAATTGGGAAAATGAACAGCAGATTCCTATGGAGATTATAATAAAGAAAAAAATTTTGATTTTTTCAGTATTAAAGTATTTCATTTGTGTCAAGTGTTTTTGCATTTTGCAGAAATTAATTTTGGAGTTTCAAAGCAGATGTGTCAAGACCACGATTTCTTATTGAGCAGAAGTAGGTTTTTATTTGTTTTTTCCCCCAAACGACTCTACTTGTGTAAAGAAATGTAACATGTGACAGTCATTTCAAACAATAAATATGGCAAAGATTCCAAGTACGTAATTAAATTGGAAAATTAATCTTAGTTCTGAGCCAGAACACTTATTGACTGAGGATATCTAGATAACAATGGCAAGTAGAAGGAGCTCTTTTTTAATTTTCAGCGTTGTGATTTGGAGTGCATTACTAATTTGTAGAACAATTAAATTGTTCATTAGCAATGCTCTGTCACAAACCAGTTTTCAGAGTGTACAAAAGTAGTTACATTTCAGATGATTTGTAGTCTTTTGTAAATTTCTAGTGTATAGTAATGTGAATGCTTGTCATTTCCTGACTACTCTGTATCTTGCAAAATTAAGTTTAATACAAGTGCAGAACAATTTTTAAAAGCTTGAAGTTAGAAAAATTTAGAGGCAAGCATGGTTTGTATGAAATTTTGCAATGAAGAAAAACTTGAAGCAGGGGTTGACTGAAAATTAATTTCTAATTTAACAAGGTGTATGGAGACACTTCTGTAATTAGGAGAAAGGTTTACTGCAATGCTACTAATGTGGAAAGTTGAACCTTTTGGTTTTTTCTTTAAAAACCTGACAGATTCGTATTATTTCAATCAAGACAAGGCTATTTGTCTTTACACAAAGTCGTAATTCTCTTGCTATTAATTTATAGTGGTATCACAAGCCATTTAATAACTGAAAAACAGTCTTCCCTTTTGTTTAATCAAGAACAGTTTGGTTATTTAAAGCGATGAAAAAAATATGGCTCAGAGAGAGGTGAGGAAGATGCTCCAAGAGAAAACGATTGTAGCCTCAAGCGCCACTGCCTTAGGATTCGCTTCATCATTACTTCCAAATAAGGTTTCTGTAATGATAAATCTGGAAGTGGAAGAGCATCTGCTCCAGATTTTACTAGTGACCTGTAATGAAAAAACAATTGAGCATGACTTCTTTTTATGAAGGCCTGATTTCTGGAATACTTATAATAATCTAAATTGGTTTGAATAGCTGCATTTTACAAAATCTTTTCTACTATAAATGACAAAAATCCTGATGTTGAAAACACTGTTTATCTCTTCTAGGGTAATAACACTACAATTCCCGATGCAAATGGTACTCCATTTCAAGTGCTTTGTTATCTAATCCTACTCAGTGGATGATGTGGCTGACTGGAGGAGTACTGTAATCAGTTAGGAACACAAGTCCCGCTGGCTGCTAGGACTTGCAACCTCAATGAGTTAGTGTCCTGATAATCTCCCTCCTCCTCCCCAGCCAATTACTCATACTACTGTCATCAGGCAGATCAGTACCTGCTTTGTTTTTCAAAAATGTGATCATTTCTGCCTCCGTTGATGACATTGCAGTGTTACATAAAGGCATTACAGCAAGATTAAAAGGCCTTTGGAGCCTATAAAAGAAAAAAGCTGAGTAGTTACTGAATGGCTCTGAAAAATAGATAACTTTTATAACTGTCATTATTGCGCAACGGCAATAGAAGGCTGAACTGCTTAGGTTAACCTTTAATTTGCAAGTCAAATGTGACTCACAGTCATTTAAGCATTGCAGTAATTTGAGGTGATTGATATGAATCTCGAACCTTAAGGACAGTTATTTGTTTAGAGAGGAAATTAGAGGTTTAGAAGTGAAATACTGCAGTTCTGGTAGAACTTGGGGAAACATACCGCAAGGAAAACATGCAGTAAAAGTGAAGGCAGATTACAGAATATTGAATTGACATTTGTTAGCTGAGCTATTCTGGTACATACTGAAATCTAAATTATGTCTGAAGTTGAATGGAAAATGGATTACAAAACTACCTATAAATGACAGAAATAATATAATCGAAAAAGGTAATAGCAATGCAGTATTGGAAGCTGAAGAGTAATTTTTTTGTTTTCTGTTGTGTGCTAAAAAGGACTTGTACAACTTGAAATTTAATTCTAGGAAGGAGAAAGCCATTATCTGAAAAAAAAACCCCAAACCTAAGAACTACAGGTACAAGTTATGCAAATCTCTTGATTACATACATCTGTAAGAGACCTGGTTCAGCAACAGCTTTACAGTAAATGTGTCATACCTTTCTTTCAGGATCATCTCTAAGCAGAGACATAACAATTGTCTGGGGCAGCAGACTACTGTAGGGAGAGAAAAGCCCATTGCCCAGATGCCTCTTTGCCTGTAGCAGAGCCCCGGAGGGCAGGCAGCCCGTCCTGCTGCCAGCACCCCAAAGGGGCTCTCGTTCCTGCTGCAGGCAGCCCTCCTGGGAGAGGGTGGCCCTCGCCATCCTGCCGTAACCCTGGCGAGAGCATAAGCAGAAAGCCTGGCCTCCACTCCCCATTCCTGTACCTGTAGCCTCACCATGGTGGCAAAAATCCGAATTTTTTTTTTTTTTTCACTATGCTGTTCATAAGTTTGAAGAAAGTGTTGATTTGTTTAAGTATTTTTTTACAAGTAACTGAAAGCACTGATGTTTATCTTTCTACTGAACTCTTCTCTCTGGTGTATTTATATTGGTACAGAAATGGGATATTTCACAGAGATGTGAAACCAGAAAACATATTAATGAAGGTAATTCATTTTATGTGAGAATATTTAACTAAAAGTGAAGTATATCAGTATTTTTTCTCTTTACTCTGAGAAGGTAATGTTTCCTCATGAATAAAAGTACGGTTTTTAAAAAATATATAGACAGTTACCTGTAATACTGTATTCCTGATCTAGAGGAATGAACAAGGAAGTTTGTTATTGGCTAAAACCTGCAATAAATCAGATGCTTTACAGCCTGCATGTGTTCCCTCCAATCTAAAAACCTGTTCTTTATCCTCTATTAATGTGTATTTTCCTTTCAGTGTTAACCTAGAAACAAGCGATAGAGTTCAGTTCTGCAGTTCTTTCTTTCTACGTTCAATTCCTACGTTTAGCGGAAGTTATTCATACAAAAGACAGCAGAAAGTACTACCTTTCAGATTTCTTCATTGAAATCTAGTCTCCTGACAGTTTCAGAATGTTATTTTGCTAATGTCTGAAAAGCAAGGATTTCAAAATGCAGTTTATGAAATTTTATTTTCTGGAGGTAAATTTTTCTTTTAAGTCTTAGAAGTGTACAGGCAAAGCTGTTGCAAAGAGAAGCCAAAGCCACCTATTATATCCCTGCTAAACACAAGAACTCTAAGGAAATAACTTAATCCCCATGTCCTATTTAGCAGTCTTCCCTTCAGTAATAGTCCATATGCTTTTCAAGTAACTCTTAGGTCTTTCTTTTAATGATGTACAGAATGGTATTTGCATATATTATGGGACACAGGTATCTTCAAGCTTGGAGCTACTTTCTATTTAAATGCAGTTTTACTGCTATAATACTACCCCTGGGATTTCTGAAAGTTTATTCTTAAAGTAATCTGTGATTTCTTTTATGATAACTACTTCACACATTTAAGGAAAATCTTTGCTTGAATATTTCAGTGTTTCTAATTTGTCAAAATACGTTCTTTATTTTTGCAGCAGAATACCCTGAAGTTAGGAGATTTTGGATCTTGTAGGAGTATCTATTCCAAGCAGCCACATAGGAATATATCTCCACACGATGGTACCGAGCACCTGAATGCTTACTTACAAATGGCTGCTATAGTTACAAAATTGGCATGTGGAGTGCTGGCTGTGTTTTCTATGAAATCGCAAGGTACAGTGTTCAGTAGAGGGTTTTGCTTATTATTAATCAAGAAAATCAAAGGTAAATAAGTTAAATAAGGAGAACATGGTATGGGTAATACGATCTTTGTTTCCACGGTTCTGTGGAAGCTTCTTCTGTGATTAGTCTGCAGGGTTCATGAGGCTGTAATCCGGTCATGTCTGGCACTTTCTTCACCCAATGCCAGGTTAGTAATAAAGCAGCGGGATGTTCAAGAGAACATAGTACCAACAAAAAATTATTTACAAGGAAAATGACATTTTTGAACAGTTGGTTGTTTTGTTGTTTGTTATCCCCCCCACCCCAGCTTCATATTTGAGTTTGGTATAAATGTCTTTTCTGTGCTTTATCTCTGAATAGAGTATGGCTCATTTCCTTTCATGAGCATCACTGACTATCCTCAACCTCGTTAATACACTTAATGGTAAAATTTTCCCCTTTTTTTGACTTACTGTTCTGCAAAACCAGAGGAGATTAGAGAAGACACTCCCCCTGATTTACTACTTTGATTTATAACATAGTGTGTTTAAGACCCTTGTGCCCAGACCTTACATCCTGGAATATTTTGAAGTCAGATTCTGGTGAAGGAAGAGTCCAGGAAAACCCGGATTAAAGTCCTTAAAGTGCTTTTCGATGATGATGAGACTGTAACTCAAAAAATTTGTCACTGATCTTCAAGAAAAAAGGGAAAATAACCACCATGAGTATTTCTTCAATATCTTTGTGCCCTAGCAACAGCAGCAGTTCTTCTTTATTCTCCTCCCACACCGCTGTCTCTGATATGCAACCAGGAGTGATAACATTTGCTTTGCTTCTTTCTTCCTCCTCCACATGGCAAGTGCAGCTGCTGCCATCACCATCACATTAAATGACAACCCGTATGCTTTGCCTGCTAACTTGTAGAAACAGTTCTACTTCGGTCAGACTTATTGTGATAAGAGTGTTTTCAAGGACTCTATGCAAGTTTTATATTAACTGACGATCAAGCTCAGGAATGCAGTTCAAATTACCATCTTTCCAGTATTGCTGCTTGCAAAGAATGTTTCTTACATATTTCTGTGTTCATATACAGCAAGAGGGACTGCTTGACTCTGCTGTCTTAAAATGAGGAAAACACATTGTCTTCTGGGATCTGCCACTCCACTAGAAGAAAACACAATCCTATATCCATTGCCTTTCACCAGGAGGGATGTTCTTTTTACATATTCTACCCCAAACCTGTGAGGAGAGGGCAACTACAGGTTTCTGTTTAATAACCCAAACTACTCTTTCCATCCAAACATGTAGTTGTATTGATCTGCTACTCACATGTTACCCTTCAGTTGTTGGTTGGTATTAAACTGTCCACAAACGAGTAATTCTAAAATGTGTCTTCGTTGTAAACGGAAATTTTTTAACTGAAGTGGCAGCTATGTCACTTAAACTAGTTTAATTGTGTCTTCTCTAGTGCTAATATTGCCTCTTACCTTGCAGTTTTCAGCCTCTCTTTCCTGGATCTAACAAGCTGGACCAAATTTCAAAAATCCATCATGTTATAGGCACTGCTGCTAACAAAAAGCTTACCAAGTTCAAGCAGTAAGTATGCACTCCCATAGTTATTAATCTCACTGTTTAAATATCCATAATATAACTGTACAACTGTGTGCAATTTATGCTCAGGGAACCACCACAAAAATCTAATTCTGTTGTGACAGCTGCTGACCAAAGAACGGTATCTTCTATCCCTGCCCAGAGATAGCCATGCATTCATGATCCTTGTAGGCAGAGCAGAGGAAATCTGAGCCTGTATCAATTTTATTTGGTCTTTTATTACCATAGTATCTTTAAGGCCAATGACATAACTTGTTAGGAAAGAAGGCATTTTTTTCCTCAAGTATTACTTGTCCCTAATAAATGATTACCTAAATCAGATGAGAATAATTTTTTTCAGTAAATCATAATTCTCTCTGAATATGCATGAATAACTTTGTTCTCAACTTGCTTAACACAGGTCAAGAATTGCAACTTTTTAGTTCCCTTTTAAAAAAGGAAAAGGAATACCTCTTCTTGTGCACAGTTTGTCTCTCAGAGGCTTTTCTCTCCCATATGCAATGATAAAATACGATCCTGATGAGAGAATTGCTGCCCATCAAGCATTACAGCACCCATATTTTCAAGAACTCTGGCAAGTGACTTCAAATCACTTCAATCTTGAAGACTAAAATTAAAAAGTGGGGGAGGAGCGCTGTGTGCTTATTATTTAAAGTGGGCTGAAATGAAGTTTGCTTACAGTGCTAGTGCTTAGCTTGCAATACAATGAACATCATTCGGTCAACATAATTCTTTGTGTTGATGCCAAACTTCACATAAAGCACAACTGATGTTTTTTTCTTTTTTTTTTTTTTTTTTTCTTTTTCCCCAAACTTTTTAGGGCAGCTGATACACAAGCTTTGGCCATGCACAAAAAATTAAGATTACTAGAAAATATATCAGGGCAAGTACCTCCACATTTGTGGCAAATTTCAAAGGAAAGTCAAAGACAGGTAATATTTAAGTGGAAGAATTGTCAGCCTATTTAGAGAAAGTAATTTGTGGCACCGAGCTTGTTAGCTAGAAACAAATGTTTTACTTAAGCTGATTACTTGGTTTTATTCAGTCTCTGCAAACACGGATCTTTATGTGGTCTGATGCAGTGCCCCCCCCCTCCTGCCCTGAAGCCCTGAAACACACGAGTTAGAATTTAGAAGCTGTGATACCACATAATCCCTTCCATAGAGTCTTGCCATAGTTGCTATTACTTAAAGGGTCAGTTCCATGGGTTTTTTTAAATATCATCATCCTCTTTTTGCTCTCTGCCTTTGAGTTAACGAGTTTTACAGATGAAGTTGTAGCAGAGAGAAAAAGTGTGCTTTTGCCTTTTCAGGCTTTCAGTCTACATTTTGAGCAAATAATTTATTTTTTTTAAACTTAATTACACTGTATTTAGATGATATCTGGGAAAAGCCTAAACTTGTATTTGACACTGGAAATAAAAAAAATAAAATCTGATTAAAAATTCTGGCAAACTAAAACTTTGTTTATATTCAAGCTATGTGAAAAATACTCAACATATTCACTCTTCAGTGTTTGCTATATCGGCAAGGTGAGAGAGAAGTCAGTACTACATGAAAAACTCTCAAATACAGGCTTTTCTCAAAAAAACAAATTACACTAGCAAAAAAAAATTATAAATTATTTTCTGCTGTGCATTTAGCATTGAAAGCATGAACTCTCCTTCCATAGGAGCAGCCACTTTTTCCACCTGTTTCATTCTAGGGTTCATCAATCTAGGCTTTGTAAGAAGTTTCTTCAGGAAAAATTGCAAGAAATATCAATGAGGCAGTAATTTTTTTAAAAAAGAATTAACTGAATTAGTATTTGGCTGAGTTATTTTTTTGTGATTATTTGGATTTTCTCTTTTAATTTTATTCTTTCAGATTTTCTCAGAAATAAATTGAATCTTATTTATTTTAAAACCATTCTCCTAGGAAAGTCCAGGAAAAAACAAAACTACGTGGACCTCATTGTGGAGAATTACCAAAGTTAAATTTTTCCGGAGTACCCAGATTGACTCCCTGTCCTATTCCTACATTGCATTCATTTTTCCAGGCACCTAAGGGAAGTGGTGAAATCCCTATGTTAGTCTGTTACATTTACTGGGTCAAATACCGAGGTACAGACTTGTAACTTGCTCATTAAAGGGTAACAGCAAAAATGTGTTTTACAGAGTGTATTTCAAACCTCTGTTGTTTCCTCAACACTCTGAGAAACCGAAAGCACTTAAATCTTCCCGAAACATTTCCATGACCTGCTATAGAATGAAGAGGAGGAGGTTACTGACCGCCTTGTAAAGTATTTGGAGTGTGAGGAAAAGCATGACTATGCAGTGAGAGCAAGCCAATCGTGCTTCCATTGTTCGGAGATCTAACAAGAACAGCAGCGCCTTATTTTGTGTTTCTCTGGCAATTTGTAGGAAAACCCCACAAGGTTAGGAGGGCTGCTTACCTACCATTTTGGTATTCTGTTCCTGAAGGGTATCAATATTTAATTAAAGCATTGTTTTGGCAGAGCTTAGAGAGCACTTTACTGAACCTTCTAAGTACTTTTTTCCTTTTAGAACCTGATGGAGGAGGAGGTTGGTTAAAAATAACATGAAAGGATTCTTTAAGCTTCAGTATTAGGAATGGAATGTTATCTACAAAACACATGTTTTCATATTGTATTATAAATGACAGCTAACTTTTGTGTATTTTTTAGATGTAAAAATTTTTTATTTTTCAGTCAACTCTGGAAAGTATTCGCCTCCTGTATTCAGTAACTTCAACCTAAAGTTTTATTGAGAATGTGCAGATTATGCAATCATATGAGATACTTGATTTTAATGCAGTTTCTGTCACTGCTGAATATTTTTATGTAACTATAATTTAGCTAAAAGGTAAAGCAACTTTTTATCTGATTCAAAAGCAAATAAAATTTAGTCACAGTTGTCTTCAAGCCGTTGATCTTAATATTTATAAAGAATTTTAACAGTGACTGATACTGCAGCTAGTTGCTTAGAAGAGCAGTAAAGGCATTGTCTTATCACGTTTCAGAAATTTTGCACACAGATCATCAGTAACAATTTAATATAATGTTACTGTTTCCTAGTGCTATAAAAGGTTAAAAGTTAAAAGGCAGCATTTTTATCTTGCTTGGAAAGAGTAGTTATTACAATTTGGTACCATTGATTTTAAAACTCCCAAGGTGTCCTAAAAACTTGCAATAATTAATTTGCAATACTTAAATTCAGTGGTGTGCTACGAAAGAGTTGTGCTATCTAAAAAACAAATGAGTTTGTGCACGTAATACTTAGCTGAGGGTTTAAAAATCTTCTGCCTACCAAGTATGCATGCAAGACAAGTTTTGCAAATAACTGTTGTTGTTTTTTTAATAGTTTTAAAAGTTACTCTGCTCATAATTGGGAAATGATCAGCTTTTTTCCCAGTAACCAAACACCTCTGGGACTGCTGCTGCTGTTCAAAATTTTCTGTGCAACAAAAAAGTGAAAATCAAGCAACAAGAAGGCAGGCAAGGGGCATGTAGTATCAGAAGTCACTGCTGTGCATGAGGCACTATAAAAAAAATGCACTGGGCAGCAGATCATGTTAAACCCTTAAGCATCAGTTTGAGATTGATGCTCTAAATCCAGACAAATTGTTTATTCTAATCAGTTAAGATGCAGCTCAAACAATGCAGTAAAATACACATTAACATAAAGATTTTATAAAAATACTAATAATCTAGAATAAGTTATGCCCATTATGCTCTCAGGTCTCCTTCTGAGACTCTATGAGACTATGCATTTGTGAAAAATAACGATTCTTCTCACTCAATTAGAGGTTTTCCAGTAGGTGGCTTTTTTGTTGTGTTTTTTTGGTTGGTTGTGGGGGTTTTTTTTAAGAATCGGCATCTCAACACTTGTAGGATTCTGTTGTGAGTGCATTAGATCCTATTCCTTGTTCTACCATTCAGCTTCTGGATAACTTTGAGCGTGCCCAAATTCCACATTGTAGCTTTTCAATGTGGGGAAGCTTACGAGACTCACGTTCTTTATGAATCCTTTTGCGATCTACTGCTTAAAAGCACTTGTCTATCTTATGTTTATCTTCATGTTTTGAAGAAGATATTATTTTCACATGCTGTCCTGAGGATCAACATGACATTTACTAGCAATTTTTTTTTTTTTAATGTGAAAATATTAGCAAGCCAAACATTTGTGGTGCATACAGTGGGAGTCTTTTTTTGGTATTGATTCAAATTTGACTGTCCAAGTTGAATATCTTGCACCTTCATCATGGCATACTGTACCTTTGCTCATTTCATTCCATTTCTTCAAAGCAAACTTTCAGAATCTCAATAGCAAGAATGGAAAAACATGCCAGCCCTGGCAAAAATTCCTATAATAAGGCTTTAGCACATGAACAAGACTCTGCAGGGAAACCTGTATTGCTGCTACTCATCCTAGGTATGCCAGAGGAATAGCAGATTTCTCTTACTAGGACTGAACAAATATCTAAGCAGAGTTCTGGTGGAGGAAGTGTTCGATGCCAGTAGAGTGAGAACATCGTAATAAAGGGCGAATTAAACAGCAGAACATAAGGGTATAGCTAACTGCTCTTTCTCATTTTATTGAAACTCAAACTGGACGGATGCTGTCTTTCCTCACTTCTAAGCAGAAAATATGCTCCTGGCCATGGTATCTCACAGTGCGGGGTGGGTACATAAAAATAGAAAGACCGGCTGACTTTTACTGCACTGTTACAGTTAATCATCTCCCCACTTCATGTTAGCAGCTCATACTGACAGAACAGAGAGAGAACTTCAACAATAAGGCAATCCAACATTCATTTGAATACCTAGCATAAGTTTTTATATATATATAATATATAAAAATGTAGCATAAGTTTATATATATATAAAAATGTAACATAGGTTTATATATATATATATGTAAAAGAAAAGTGTAAGTGTGATGCTAAGCCTAGGAAATGAAATTAAGGACTGCAGGCCTACAGGCAACACAGTGTAACAGTAACCTCCAACTTCTTACCTTTGGAACTCCGAGCAAAGGTGCCTAGACCTTATCCAGTGTTTTTTCCAGAGAGGAAGATGGCGAGTTGCTTGGTGCTAATGTATTTGGAATTGAACATGCTGTGCAGCAGTAAAAATGAGAGTCTAAAAATAGGTAACTTATTGCACCTGAGGGATCTTGCTCTCTGCAGTTATTAATTTCTCTACAAATTAAAAAAAAAAAAAAAAAAGGACAAATCCTACTACCCACCTTTGATCATTCAGACTCAGAGCTCTCTTACCTAGCACTATATGGCAGGCTAAGGCTCATATTATCAAGAGGCCGTTCCTGATGATAGAGATATGTTAATTGTATTGGTAGCTTCCCATAATCTTTTTCTGGAAACCTCAGACCACAGATGCTGAAGTTTCAACATTTCAACTAAAAAAAACCCCAAAACCCTCCCTCAGATTGTGAATGCATAAGATACTTTCCTTTTTTCAAAAGTGTTTCTGCAACTGTTTGCTTCTATAATTAATATAGCAGGTAGGTAATTATTCATACACCAGGAAAGTGGTTGTTTTTTTGAAAATGATGAAGTCAGAATTTTTGGTAAGTTTTAACTTGGAGAGAGAGAAAGCTATCAGAGTAATATCTTGTATGTGACCAGCAATTCTCTCTCACGTATTCTGTATCTGGGGCTGTCAGGCTGTTGTTATGAAAAAAGGCAATTTCACATTCAGCAGATTGTTTTTGCTATGAAAACCGGAAATTTGAAGTGAAGGACCACTTGGAATTTTTCTTCATTTATTTTACACTTTCAGGTGGATCTCACAGTTTGGCACATATGGTGCTTCACAGGTATTTATTTCATAACAAGTGCTTTGCTGTTATACTTCTGGACACAACTTACACTTCTCTGGCTGTTGGATTACTAGGCAACTTGAGTTTTCCAACCTGCTTTATAGTTAAAATAAATATACTCAAATTTAAACTACATATGGCAAGTATTGTTTCTACCCTCATTCTTGCAGCTAAAAATTCCATATCGAGATGATCTGTGTTCCACTCACTTTAATTTTTTTCCTTTTTAACATAGTAGAAAAAGTTATTTATTAAGAGCTGTATCTATAGCAGAAGTCTAAGTTCTTTCCAGGTAAGTTATTAGTATCCCTTTTCTTCCTAAAATACTTTTTTTCCATATGGAATAAAGGGTGGGATGGGCAGTTCAAGCTTTTAGATGATTGCCTAATAGTAAAGAAGAGGCTGAAAAAAGAAAAACCACATAGATGCCTTCTATGCTGTTGAACTATGGTTTGTAGCAGGGACGTACTCTGCAAATGCATATGCAAGTAGCTGCTATTATTACCCTAATGGTGGCTACTGTGGTTCTTCCCGTACTGGTTTTTGTATTTTTCCAGCTGAAGGAAAAAAGTCTTTTAATGTTATTATATATTTTCCTCAACTGTTGCATTTTGACTCAGACCGTACGAAGCACTTCTATAAAAGAAGTCTACCGGGAGATAACTACACTAGTTTTCAGTGATGAGGTTTATCTGTATTTTAACAGTTAAACCCACTATGTTAATAAAACCAAACTTCTGAATAATAATCCTGCTCAGTTTCAGTATTTTCCCCATTCTTCATATTTTAGAGGAACACAAGTAGATAGGAATTATAAATTACAGTTCCATCTTTAATAAAGTAGATGACCTAATTGCCAGCTTATAAATGTATCTGGCAGTTTTCTACATGCTAATTGCATTGCAAGAACAGGACTTAGGTACAAGTAGCTACTGCAGTTGTTTCTCCCCAAATTTTCATTTATTTCCTGAAAAAAACTTAACTCCTCATGCCTGAAAGCATCTCAAGTGTCCTTGCAATTTAAATAATTCTACCTAGCTTTGTTGCTGCAGAGCAGGAAGGGCACTAATGTGTGCCCTCAAATACAGCGTGTGCGTACTCGGCCAAGACCCACTTTCCCAGGCTAGCGGCCTCCGTTCCACTCCCCCTGCCTGCTGCCCAGCTGCAAGACTCAGCAAAAGCCTAAGTGTGAATATTGCTACATAGGATAAAGGGAAAGGTATGGCAGATACTTCTACCCTGTGTCATTCTGGGCCTTG